CTGGAAACTTTATCTTTGAGGTTAGCTTGCCAGACAGGTCTTTTTTTTGTTTCGGTCAATTCTTTTAAGGTGGCCTAACAATAGCTTTTTTCTTTGCTAGTCTAGCGATCATGAACATAGGCCAAGATAAAGTACCACCCGAAACCTGTTGTAAGCATAATTTTCCACAGACTTAAAAGAGGTTTTTCAGCCTTTTATAGAATTTGAAAAAGTTTAGCGGACTATGCATAGCTTGTATAACTTGTAATTTTTAATAAAACTGGACAAGTATTTCCAGGTTTCCTTTAATGGAATTTTTTTTCAGGGCTTTGAATTGTCAACTTCATGCTCTTGACAGTGCCCCTTTAACTCCATCCTGAATCCAGTCAGAAGCTCTGATTAATCAGCTGGCTTAACTGAATGATATAATGTAAACAAGTTTTTAAATTGTACACACTGTATAATTCAAACACTTTATTACAACTTTGTTAAAGCACTTCATTGCAACTGAATGAATTCAAAGTTTTGTAGCAGTTTATTTCATTTATCTAAGCCTTTCCTATGTTTTTTCCTTTGTTGTTGTCAAACTAAGTTCATTCCTTGTCGGTCAGTATGAACTGAGTTGGGACTTGAACCTGTACTTTCGTCGCCCCACCATGGCATACTTCTCTGTTAATTGGGCTTTTTCGCTTAGTGTTAGGCAACTAACCAAGCGATCACACAACGTACTGAAATATCATAATATCTCAAAAGAAACACAGAATAGCCATTAAGAAACATAGATGGGCAAAACTGGAGAAGGCTAAAACGGACTTCATTTGGGTAAACTTGAAAAATGGCGACCCGACTTCAATCAATCTCCCATCAATTTGCCTGAAAGCTGTGGTCATTTATAATGCTCGGAAATCATCCTTGTTTGTTATGTGTCTGTTGTTTAGCCAGAGTGCTTCTCTACCAATTCAAATCTCATATTCAACGAAACTAAACAGAATTGCCATAAATGTTGTGACCTGGTCTTTTTGATGTCATTCGATCCAATCCACGGGGCACCTTCTAGATGGGAAAAGACTCCACCAGTCAGTTCGAATCTGCCTTGTCCCATCCAAAGTTATTGGTGGGAAATTGAAGCTATAATTTTGTGTGCATAACCTCAAGTCGCTGAATTACTGTTGTCGTACGTAATTGCAACCACGTCCTTGTGCACAAAAAAGAAGATCGCTTCCTCGAGCTGTCAGAGAAAATGTCAGAGGGAATGTCAGAGAGTGATTTAAATACGAAATCAAACTTAATGATTGAATGATAAAACAATTATTGAACTCGGTTATTGCCAAATTTCGTGTCTCGCAGATCAATTATTTGCCTCAGCCCTCGGTAAATACTCGATCTGCTTGCCACTGACAAATCACGATATTTTGCTCAACCTCGATCAATAACTGTTAATTGCTTGGTTATGTTATGGTACTAAAGACCTACATGGTTTTCATTTCACAGGTGTAATCTATTTGGCACCACGAAACAGCAGCAGAAAATAGAAAGATCCATGGAAATATTCTCTAAGTACTCTAAGAATTGGAGCGGGCACTGTCCCGAATGTTCCTACACGATCGCTCTTGAAGATTTTCTAGTAGTT